TGTGCTCTCTCTCTCTCTCTCTCTCTCTCTCTCTCTCTCTCTCTCTCTCTCTCTCTCTCTCTCTCTCTCTCTCTCTCTCTCTCACCGACAAAGCGAAATGAGTTGTGTCAAAGTACTTTTAGTGGTATGTTTTCTGTGCTAGCTCGAGTGTTGTATTAACCGATCCACCTTCCTCCAGTCAAAAGGGCGTGAGCAAAGCCTTGTCTTATCTCTGCGCTCGGCCCGTTATGAAGTATGAAGGCTTAGATTACACAATTTGTACTCAGAACTCATACTCAGGGGTATTCTCTCTGCTCGCAAAAGCTGAGAAACAAAAAAAAATTCGCAAATTTTAATGAAACTGTTTGACTTGTCCTTGGTTGATTGTTTGTTTGTTTGTTTTTTGTTTTAAAAAAAATTTATTAGATCTGGTTAAACACCAAGTTAGAAGGGAGAGAAAAGAGTTTAACTTTCGCAAGATTTCGACGTCAGGACTGTAAGAGACAGGTTAAAACAGGAAGGGGCAAAATCGAATTTATAGAAAATAAACAGACAGCAGAAAAGGGAATAAACTAATTTTAATTAATGAGCCGTATATAAAGCCCCTACAAGTGCCATAGACTCGAAAGACACCAACTGTGTCTTAATCAAAACATATACAAAAATGGGAAAAAGAAAAAGAAACTGAAAGAAAAACGTCAACTGGCTCCTTCATAGTGCCAGAACAAGGAACATAAATAAATACGTTTGTTAAGAAAATTGAAAACAATAGTTTTTTAAAGTTAAACATCTGGGGAAATGAGGCAGGGCAGGGCGCTGCAAAGAACACCCGGAGTTCGTACATTTCGGATCAAGTGGACAGAAGTGCCAGCGGGGTTGGACGCAGAGCGCACAGGAAAACAGCTTTCATTCAAAGATGGCTGGAACACCGGCATTCAGGTTGCGGGCTTCGACCCGCCAGTCCAAATCCAACACGGTCTGATGATAGGGGTATGCCTACTTTGTCCCAGGAAAAAAGACCGAGATAGGCCTACTCGATTAAAATTCTTCCCACAATACATGGAATCGAACCCGTCGGTCACTGTTCGTAGTCAAACCAGAAGTGTTAAAGTTGGCGTCGTTCTCAAAAGAAGAATCTGAAACAGAAATTGCACTTTGCAATGAGAATGTGAAAAAGGACGTTTGATTCCCCTAATTGAACTTATTTGACCAATTAAGCACTGTGCACACATGGTGTCTCCACTCTATGTGGGGCCACGTATGGGTCTCAAGTCTCAGTAATGTCATGCGCCTACAATTTTAACTGATTAACTCACTTTTAAAAACTACATGTAGATGGTTGAAAGGGTAGGAGGGGGCGGGGGGGTAATTAGACTTTTACCCGACTTTTGTAATAGTTCCGCGCCTTGCCGTGGCGCTGAATACACGTGTGTGTATTATTATAGTCGGCCTATAACAGGCCTGTGAAAGTCTAGATCTATGTTAGCCTATGAAAGATGCGCTCAGATTACAGAGATGGTATGGCGTGCCGATGTGTGTAGTGTATAGGCCAATGAGGTTATTATAGGTCTTTGATGTCCTACTATTGGCCCTAATGGTGGTTGAGGCAGAGGGCGGGGGTGGGGGGTGGGGGGATTGAGAGGTGGGGGGAGTTAGAGAGTTAGAGAAACATTGGCGATATGGGAAGGGTTTCAGAATGGTTAACCGAAAGGAAGGAGAAACAAGTTTCTTTCCCAAGCCGAAAGGAAAACTTTTCAAAAATCCATGTATTGTTTCAGTTGAGTCAATAAGAAAAATGCTATAGAGCTCGAAGAATACATCTACGATATTATACTTCTTTCCTAAAGGCCCAGAAAGTACAATATGTAGGCTTATGATAATATGACAATATGCTATAAAAATAATTATGATATGCTTACACAAACTGCACAAGTAAAAGAATCCTTATTCCTGCATGACCGCGTTTTACATTTCGTTTTCTGGAAAAGAACAGAAAAGCTGGATTAAACCCAGGGGGATAATTTGTTTGGTAGTGACGTCACCTAAACCAATGTATTCTATAAAACTTAGATGCTTAGCCGATTTTGGCAGTCTGAAGTCTTAAAAAAAAGTTTTAGTAAGGTTTCACGGCGCTCGCAACTGCATAAGGTCATACTATATGAGCACCAAAGGGGGGGGGGGGGTGGATGTCAAAGAAGTCCAAACATGGAATCAGGCTTAGTCAAGGAGGTTATGTACAGAAGTTGTAAGGTCCTTGGGCTTAGCCCATATATGCTCACCTCTCTAGCATCAACAGCACAAAGTCTGCTGACTATCAAGACACCTCGGAAATAGCAATTCACAAGAAAGGGACAAACATACAAAAGAAATAGAGGCAAAATGACGAAAGTAAGGATGAGGAAAGAAAAAGCAGCAGTTTCCCCTTGTTCCGGCACAGTACATGAATGAGCATGGCATAATAAGCCCATTTACAATTCTACTGCTAAAAAAACCTGTTAACTATCCCCCCCCTCCAAGGGAATGGCCTAAAGACAACTTCAGTCAGTTGCACCCCCCGGGGCAGGGGTGGAGTCTGAAGTCTTTTGTTTTTGTTTTTGTAAAGTGTTTTACGGCGCTCGCAACTGCATAGGTCATATATGAGCACGCGGGACACACCTAATATTTTCAGTTGGTAGGAAATTTTGAATTTTGCCCGGGTGGCGGCCGAAGCCTACTCTTATCGATTTTAGACCACCAAGGGATCTTTAACGTGCGCAACTTGCACACGGCCCTCCGAGATTTTTCGCCCTTGTCCGAGAAGGCTAGGTGTAGATCTTTCCTACCAGAAGATCAGGGGTGTGGCAGAAAAACAGCAGTAAGGAGGAGCCAAGGAGTAGCAGTAGAAAGGCTGCAGAAAGAGTCAGGAGCCCAGAGGAGGGGGCAAAGGAGGTGAGGGGGTGAGGGCAGAAAGTGGAAATGAAAGCAGACAACAGAACATTGTTAGAGAGCAGGAAAGGAGACAATTTTAGAGAAGAAAATTTTTCGGTCGCTACCCGGATTCGAACCCGGGACCTTTGAATGAGAGGCCAACACCTTAACCTCTAGGCCACGAGAGCCCCCAGTCTGAAGTCTGGTCACTCACTCGACAAGTATGAATGAAGTATGAAGCAGCCTACTTACTTGGTTGGAAGGACAGGATTTCACGAACGGACCACAATCTTGTTTTAGAAAGAATTTTACGGTAGCCTACCTGCAACACAATTGGGTCATATAAGTGCCGAAGATTAGAGGTGTAACAAGAAAATATACATAAGAAAGGAAGAAAGACTGATGTTTGATAGGAGAGAAGGAACAGCCACACAAGAACACCTGCCAACCACCCACAAACCATAATCCAAATAACTAATCAAACCGTCACAAAATCGTTTTTCTACCTTTCCCCCTCCCCGCCCGCATTTCTCGAGCTATATTGACCAACTGTGTGTTAATTTATCATTTTGTATTGTTGTTTAATATAATCATGCTTTGTATAAGTGTCGATGTGGGGAAGGAGATGGAACTTTTTATGGCAAAACAAGATATAGATCTAGTTTCAAATTATTAGCCTCTAGGCCTACTTTGTAAAGTACATGTAATTAGAATCCAAGCAAAAAACAAAAACGATTAACGATGACTGTATGTATTAGGCCAACGCCGTGAGCTGGATTCGAACGTGCGCGGGTATCTATTGGATTTCAAGTGTAACACCTTAAAACCACTCGGCCATCGCAGCAATCAACCCTTTTGTGGTCAACCAAAATACACGTATTTGAAGCTAATAAAAGTCTGTCAACACGGTTGAGGGTCTGATAGGGTGTATTTATTACAATACAATTTTTAAATTGTCTCAACTGATTGGTTTTTAGAACAGTTGGGCTTTGAAGAAGAGGCAGTTTTTAAGTTTATGCCACACAGGTGAAAAATGTTCAGCTTTAGCTTTCTTGACCAAAACATTAACCCAAAGGGTTTATAACTTGTCAATGAATGTATTTTTGCGGAAGTTGTAGCGCCACCTCATGGGCTGAAGAATACTATGCCAAATATGCTCATTGGTACTCGAAGGTTCATTTCGTTATATATGATTTTCTTTGAATATATATACTGAAAATAACAAAAAGAACCCAATAATTTTAATAATTTTAACAAGTTCACATGTTTGCTTGATAACTTTTAGGGTTCTATAAGCTAAATTTTGTTGTTGTGTATTTTGTCCTGCAAGATGAGGAAACAAAAGATCCTGGCAAGCATTAAAGATTTACGGAAGTTGCTTCATGGACGGCCTGGTAGGCCTTTTGACGGTTCCAAACAAAACAACCACCCTTCAATAGAGTGCTTTCAAGACCACCATGAGTAATTAGTACTAGCAGGTAAGGGGGCCCTTGTGCACATTAGTTAATATCGGCAAGGCCATGCCATAACTGATTTCGTGCGTTTATTTTGTACTGGCTTTTATGAAGACGTCATTAAACAAAACAGTTTCATTTTATACATGTACAGGTCCTAGTCAAAGACACCCCACCATCCAACTCTTACACTAATAAGTCATCTTTTACTAGATTAGATCTACCCGTCGCTTACTTGGAAAAGACTTGAGATGATTCCACAAAGCTATAGTTTATTTTAAAAACGTGCATTAGCATCATCAAATGCTTTGTCTGCTGAAAAGTGATGGTACATTGAGCGTGAGGTCAAATGAATTGACTGAGAAGCTTGGTCAGTCCCATTTTTTTTGTCTGCTAGAATTAGGCTCTTGCCCCCCAGATATCTAGATATATAGAATATAGATCTAGATCTAGATCTAGATCTAGATTCTAGATCTAGATCTAGATATCTAATTCTATATTTCTAGATCTAGAATCAAAGGTCTAGATCTAGAATCTATATTATATTATAGATCTAAGTCCAGGTGATTTTCCAAAGCCAAAGTGTGTCAATGATTAGGTCATGGTATTTTAAGTTTACTAGATATCTAGATCTAGATCTAGATCTAGATCTAGATCTAGATCTAGATTCTAGATCTAATACTAAAAAATAAAGTAGTTTTATGGAGTATGGGCCTCAGAAGTGTAAGTTTAGGGAGATAAAGAATACCCGACCACTCATATTATTGTACATGTACGAGGGGGGGGGGGGGGCAAAGGAAGGGGGAGGAGGGTGGGGTTAAGGGGGGGTCTCCCCCCCTGACAAACCTCTAAGGAATAGATCTAGGCTATAGGTCATAGATTCTTCATTGAGAGAGATTTAAAAACTGGGGAAAGTCATGAATTCCTAAGATTGTCATGACCTAGGCAAAAGTAGATCTAGATCTAGTCCGATCCGCTAGTACGGCATTTTAAAATCTTACCTAAGTTGATATAATGTGTCTGGTTTTGGGCATCATCAGAAGCTGTAGTCGGCAGTGTTGTAGTAGCAACGGCATGTAGGTGGATGAAGTAAAGGCAAAGGAAATCTCAGTTTGTGACAGAGGGCCATATATACACTTGTCTTCCTTTATTTTTCTTTATAGTAGAGGGTTTTACGGCGCTCGCAACTGCATATAAGGCATATGAGCGCTAAGGGGTGGGTGTCAACGGAGAAGTCTTTACAAGGAATCAGACTTGTTCTGCTCACCTCTCTAGCTTCAACAGCAACAAGGTCTGCTTCGACTATCAAGGTACCCCGGAAATAGCAGGTCACAAGAGAGTGACAAACATACAAAAGAAGTAGAGGAAAAATGACAATAGTAAGGATTAGGAAAGAAAAAGCAGCAGCTCCCTGTTGTAGATCAGGCACAGTTATGAGCGTGACATGAATCAGCCCATTTACAATTCTACTGTGCTTGAACGAGAAATGTCCCCCTCTTGGGAATGGCCTAAAGACACTACAGTCAGTGGCGCTACCGCGGGGGGAATACGCTTGTCTGGCGGGAGAAGATTATCAGAAGAGGCTGTTATGTTTGATAACTACCTTGGCCCTGAACAGCCTGGTTAATGAAAAGCCTTGCATGAGATATAGGGCCTATAAAAGCTTAAAATGCCCAAAATACCCAATAATAAGCCTAGGGCTGATTTTTGCTTCTCATAATGTAAGAGATTAGATTCCAGGAACTGTGTAGAGATTCTACAATGTTTTGTTTTATTCTCTTCAGACTTTTTTCAGAACATTTTAGATATATGAAGAATGAGTGACTAAAAGTAGTACAAGTCATGACTGGCTAGAGACCATAGAAAAACAAGTACATTGCTGGATCAGAAACAGATTAACCTTTTTCTTTATAGAAGTTGATCTTGTACGGTCTTGTTATTTACACAGTTGCCACACTGAAACCGAAGCCAAAATGAGCTTCATGAAGAAGATGCTTAGCCAGCGTGGTGGTGGAGACTGCCAGGCTGGCCAGGCACAGGATAACAGCCTGGGGCTCATGCACCTACGCAAGCTCTTCACAGAGTTTAGGCACCCGACAGTCAATTCCACACAGAGGAACCAAGAGGAGAAGTTGTACAGTATGTTGCCACTGTTTATAAAGGTAAGTGTTTTGTGGTCAGTTAGTGGTTGTAAATCAGATGAGATTAGAATTTACTTCTTTTTTACGTGTGCTTTTAATCTGAAGTTGAAGAATGCTCAAATCATAATGGATGAGGAGATGTCATTTTATTTTGTCTTGTCTCTTGTCTTTGTCATGTGTTGTTTTGATGGATGATAGTAATCATGTCTGTTTTGGAGCCAGCTGGATTTTTATGTAATGCAATATTTTCGTAAAATAAGTTTTTGGTTTTCCATGGATTTTATGAGTAATGGAGCGCTTATATATGTAGTTTGTGTTCAATTTATGCCTTTACGAACTGAGTAGAGGTCTGATATTGACTGTTGTCAGTCTTTGTTGCCAGTGAATTACTGAACAAACAGGTTTGTTACATAAGTAATGGTAATTTAGAAAATTTATTGAATTTTATCTCATCATGTTTCCAGGTGTTTGAGAGCACCCAGTCCAATGAGATGACTGAAAAATGGAGTGATATCCTACAGTTCTGCAGCCACGTCTCTAAACTAATGGTCACAGAGATCAGGAGAAGAGCATCAAATCAATCCACAGGTATAGGAAGGATTTATAAAAAGGGTGCTACTTTATGGTCAATGTTCAAACATCTTGATATCGTGTAACACAAGGTTTTTCAGATTCTTCTTTCTGTAGTTGATGAATTCAAGTTTTGTATTCGGTATGGTTATTTTGTTTTTGGTCTTATTGTGGAATGTTTAGGATACTCATTTGTTCATGGATGCAAAATTTGGAAAAAATCAGAGTGAATTCAAGCCTGTTTTATCGATGTTCTCACAGCATTTAAAAGATGAGCACATTGAGTTCTAAGGCTGAAGCAGCTTCTTGTAGAACATATAACATCTAACTTTATTCCACTGTATGGGAGAAATTACTCTTGCTTGTTTTTCTATTTCAGAGGCTGCCAGTTGTGCAATAGTTCAGCTGTTAGAGATAGAGTCTGCTATTGAAAATGGCAATGGCTGGATGCTCCTCACTGCTATCAATCTTCTGTCTTTGGGCGGCAACACATTGATTGATTGTATGACTGCTGCTTCCTTACCTTCCACACTGGTCAAGTGTCTCTACCTGTTCTTTGACCTGCCACCAGTAGAGAATGGAGACGAGAAGCAGCCTGGATGTGAGTTCACACCCATGGAGAGGAGGATTTTACTGCAAAAAGTCTTTGTTCAGGTACGACTATTCTTTAGTTGAGATTTCGTAGTTTTCTCTTACGCTGCTGCTTGCTTCAGGGTGTCTGCTGATTTTGAGAGTTTGTGGAAGGGAGGTAGGGGGAGGGGGTGATTAGAGTGCTTGAAAGTGACAAAATAAAGTTCAGTTGGACCTGCTCTTAATGGCCACTTGTATAAGACAACCACCTGTACTAACGGTTACTTCAAATTTCTTCCATTGCTTTTTTTTTAAACATTCGAATGACGTTGTGTTAGACGGCCACTTTTCTAAGGTGCCCACTACTCTCCTTGACAATGAGTGGTCATCTTAGACAGTTTCAACTGCAGTAAGATAATCAGTTTCATAATAAGTCTTAGGAAAAGACATTTGTGGCTTCGTCTATGGTAGAATGCTACTTGGATCGATACAAGTTGAAAATTTATGTTTAATTATTTCCTATGTGTACTTTTGGCCCTATGGTCCAAACATGCTATGAGAATTCGATAATGTAAGAGATAAAGTTTCACTTTAGCTTAAAAACTGTCAAAAAACCCCTTTGCTTTTGTTTGCAAGGTGCAGATATTGTTCTGTTAAAGTTTATTACATGTTCAATTATACTGTGTTATAGTTTCTTCATAGTGTCTTTGTTGCATGAACATAGTGTGTTTAAATGAAGTGAGAAGGGATTGTCCATTCTGTGCTCATCAAAGAAATCATAGGATATTCCTTCTTTGTCCACATATTGTTAGATCAGGTGATAATCTTTTATGATATTTCCTGTGTTCATGCTGCAGGTTCTGGTGCGTCTCTGCAATCATGCATCTCCAGCAGAAGAGTTGGCACGTAAGGATGACCTGAGCTTGCTGTTCAGTGCCATCACCAGCTGGTGTCCGCGCCACAATGCCATGTGGAGGCAGAGTGCAGGGGAAGTGTTGGTCACACTGTCTCGACATGGGCTGACTCAACACGTTGTTTCATACATACATGGTGAGGATTTGTTTGTTGTTAAACAAGATTTTCAGAACCATCATCAATCTGTCTTTTGTGTATTTTCAGTTTGCAACGATGTACACTCATTTTTTCCCCCCCCTAAAAGAAAAACATTTTGCTTTAGAATGATGTTATACATGGGCCATGAAAGGATGGCTTTTATTTGGGATTAGTTGCATTTCTTTTGTGTTTTTGTTCGTGAAAAGGTTGTTCACATATCAGATTTCTGCTCATTTGACATTCCATTGTACTTGCTTGTTCCTTTTTTTTTCTAGTAAAAACTTGGATATCAAGTGTTTGGGAACAAACTAAGAATCTAAAAATTTCAGCAGTTTTGTACAATATTACAATGGTGAGTGAAGCTTTTAAGAGTAAAGTTATAAAAATCAAGTATTGTTATATGGTAGGTCAGTTTGTGTTTTAGTAACAGTAAACATTGTCTCAATCTTTGAAAGATATTGCAACATTCTCCCTTGCTCACTTTGTAGTCTTTATGGATAGCATTTTATGAAGGTTGCCATTTTGTCAGCAGGCTTGCATATTACTTGCCTCTATATTTGTCCTCAGATAAAGGCTGTGTACGTCACTGTATTGAAAATATGCAACGGGCTCAGGATTTGTCACCGCTGGAACTGGTTGAGATGTTTGTTACAGTATTCTGTTTCCTGAAAGATTCCAGTGAAGTCTCCCAGCTCCTTCTTGATGACTTCCGCTCATGTCAGGGCTATGTCTTCCTCTCAGAGTTTTTGCTCAAGTAAGAGACAATTTTGAACTTCTTGTTTGTCTTTTGTGCAATATTCTTAGAAAGGGCACAGCATTCTCAGTTTCTAACATTAGTACATGCTTTCTGTTGTGCTGTAATTTGATTTCTGCTCTCTTGTCAGAGATTGCCCGAAAGTATGTATAGGAGTTTGAGTTGGCTGCTCTTATTGCATTGGAGAGTAAGAGAGAAATCAACTGGTGTCAGTTGGTCAATTTACTTGGACTATTTAGGAACTTAATATAAAAGGATTGTAGACAGTCCTAGATATCAGTTTATATGTATTCAGCTAGATGCAAGTTAGTTAGAATATTCACTAGGTCGTTTTCTTAAGAGTGTATAAGTGTCAGCAAAATTTTGTCTTCCTTCTTTTTTTGCGTGTGTGTCAGTGTGAGAAGTGGTTGCAGTAAAATATACTCATAACCGAATCTGAAAGGGTTTTGTGTGAGAGCGTCTGCCAAGGTGAAAAAGTGTTGGTAGAGAAAATTTCTCACATACATTTCCAGCTATGGACTTTCTGGACAGTGAAAAGAAGCACTTTTCAGAATTCTTAAAAGAAACTATTTGTGCCATTATATTGGCAAGAGAAGAAGGACAAGTTGCAATATAGCCCCCAATGGCTGTTTTCTCAATTTCTCTAATTAGGAACGACTTGTATCTACTCAACTTCCTCTTTCTGCTAAGTGACAATGGTCTGATAATTATAAGTACAAGCCCATTGATAGATTGAGAAAAACAACCTCTCCACTCATCCACATAAGACTGGTTTGGTAATGGGTTTTTCTTTACTGCATTTCCTCCCCCAGGCTGGAGCAGGACAGTGCTGAGGAGTCAGTCCAAGCACTACGCAATTTGGTCCTCTTAGTGGGCTCTCTCACCACCTGTGGCTTCACCGAGATGAAGCCCAGCCACAGTAATACCGGATCTTTATTCCAGATGCCTGGATTTGCCGTACCCACCCCATCAGGGAAAGGTAAGGTTTAAAAAGCATTTAAAAAAAATTTTTAGTTGGTTTTTTTTTGTGTTAACTGCTTTCCCCATTCAAAAGTTGCCTTCAGCATGTTTTGTCCAATCCTTGTAAAGTTGCACTCTTTAATTTGACCTTTGATGTTTTGTTGATTACAACTTGGCCACACTTTCTACATTCCTCATTGAGGAGTTATGCATGTTACTTCTGTTGTATTCTTGTGCATCAAAGTTTCATGTTCTTTAGACTGCTTTCATTCAACATGAAGCACTTTGGTAATCTTTGCAAGATCTAATGTGTGTGGGTGGTTTGTGGGTGCTCTGGTCTGGTTTGCTCCTTCTTTCCTATCAAACATCTATCGTCCTTATCTCTCCTCCTTCTTTTTGTGTATGTTACTCTCTTGTATCACATCTATTCTGCGGCATTTATATGACCTTATTGTGTCGCAAGTGCCGTAAAACACTCACTAAACTAAAAAGATCGAATGTGTGTTGCATGATAGCTTTTTCATTTGTCTTTGACAGCTCACAGACTGTTATGTTAATTCAGTGTGAATGTTATTGTATTCAAGAAATCAGTTTTTAATTTTTTACCATTTGCGTTCAAGGTTTTCGTTTTTTAAAAGTTGTGTAGATTTCTGTGTGCCTTCTTGAGTGTTAACCACCAACCAATGCCACTGTGACTCTGATGTGTTGAGAATGTGTGTGTGTGCAGATAAGTGTGGAGTCTATATCATGTTTATGTGCTCTGATATTAGTTTGACCCTGATCACTCTCGAGGTTGTAAATTTTGTTCTTTTTTTCTTTAAGAGAAATTTTTTTTCGAATACTGATGTGCAGAATTAAGATTATGGGTTAATGTCTTGTTTCCCTCCTGAGTCAAGGCTCAGAGGCTTTAAATTTAAAATAGTTTCAGTTTTTCCTTCCCCCCCCCCCCCCCCCCCCCCCATTTGCGTACATTGATAGCAGAAACTGGATCAGTGAGAATGTATTTTTGGCAGTGGTATCAGGTATAGGGACAAACAGTCTTCATATCAGCAATTTCAGACTCACGTTGTAGGCCTGAGGGGGCCTTCCATCCTACGAGTTGGTGTTATCAGCACTGATTGACCTAGAGGTGTTGATAATGCTTGTACCTGCTCAACTACTTAATGTTGGGCCTTTATCTCAAATGACAATGAAGTTCAGAGTCAAGAAGCACTGTTGTTATGTATTTGTGAATATTTCAAGTGGGTCAGTGGGTGGAAGAAGTGGGTGACCCCCCGAAATCATGCTGGACATTGGACCAAAGTACTGTGGTTCCCATTTGAACATACTTGTTTTAGAACCTTGACGCATGGAAATTACTGAAGAGATCTTAAATGCTTGTGTCTGACCAGGTTGATTGCCTCTTGTTAGATACAAAGTGTGTATTTCGTGCACATTGTGTCCTTTGTCATTTTATTTGATCTCTGTGGGCATAAAGGAGTGCAGTGAAATCAGACTGTCCTTCATGATGCCTTTGTTGATGGATAATACCTTTCTGTAAAATTAAAGGAGCTAGTTTGCGGTGAAATTTTACTTTACATAATCAAAGACGAAAAGTCCTTCTAAAATGGAACTTTAAATAAAAAGAGAAATTATGTTTTCAGGATTAAAGTGGTAGATATAATTTCTGATAAAAGATTCCCTTTCTATTCTTTCACCTGAGAAAACATGGAATGTTGATAGTTGTACAGCTGTAGTTTTTCAAACAATAATGGTTTCTGGTCAAGGTGTATATAATTGTGCTTGATAAACTTTTCAGAGCTTTTTGTGGTTCTTCTTCATCCATATAGTCAATATTAATTTCTATTTAGCTATATAATATTTTGTGTTTTTGCCAGGTTTTTTTCCTTCAACCCCCCCCCCCCCCCCACCTTTTTTAACTCATGTACGCATGGTCATTGTAAGTGTATGTGGCTGTATATTTTTGTGCGCACTACCTCACAGTTTCGTTTTGCTATGATATTTTATGTTTTACTTTTATTTGTTCTGACACCTTACATTTTCAGAGAAGAAAAGAAAGTCAGATAAAGGTGCAGTATTTCTCATTTTTGCTCCATAGTCTCTTTAGAATGGCTCATCTATCTATCGTATGCTTGAAGGGACCTTTGAGCTGCCAGTCTGAGTTGTGGAAAACTCGGACTTATTACTTGAAGTTGTTACCTGTGCATGCATGGTATACAAATGTGACTTTTATATATCACTGTAACTGGTTGAGGTTTCATACACACTCTGTATTGAGAGAGAGAGAGAGAGAGAGAGA